GCAAACATAACACATCAGGAAAATGTATTCTATCTTCCTGACCATGAAATGTGAAACCTGCCTAATTATGAAATATATCTCTGTCTCAGCTAGGTATTAAAGAACATTGGTGATTATTACACTGAGATTAGCAGCTAAAAAGACAAATGTGAGACAGTATATAGGGAAAGAGTTTTTAACAATTGTTTTTTGTTTTTTTTTGTCCTAGAATTTAGTTGCAGATTCTTTTGTAGAAACAATATTATATCCTTCAGCAGTACCACGAAGACCATGTTCAAAACCTTATTGATACACATCAGACCTCCCTCTCAGTTTTCCAAATGATATCATATCATTTTGAAGAAATTGATAAAAGCATCCTTAAAGTGTTTTTTTCTACCTTGCCTGGCATTACCTCCTGTATAGCTTCCTTTCCAACAGTTTCCTGAGAAGATAGCCTCCATCTATTCCCCACAGAGCTTAGGGAAAGTTGATGCCTTGCCATTTGGTATATAGGTTCAAAAAATGATACTGCTCAAGAATTCAGAATTGTTACCTACTGTAGGTTTACATTTCATCGTGACAGAAGAAGTTCAAATGACTTTTTTAGAAACTTTAATTTTGTTCTGGTACCAAATTCTGTTTTCCTGGGAATTAAAAATTTGATGAATTTCTTTACTTGATTAATACATTCTATCTTGTCACTGTGGATTCTTCACAGAGAAAATCTGTATTCAATATACTTGCTCAGTAGCTAGAAATACCAAAAGCATACAAAGTCAGAAAATACAGCATCAAAATCCTAATTTTTAAAAATATTTTCTATATCTGAAATCATTCTGAAATGCTGAGCTACAATGTAGTTTATAGGAACCAAAATAAAATAAAAAAGATGAAAGGCCTAAAAGAAATGAGACTTGTATCATGCTAAATATAATTAAAAGAACTCTTAACACTAAGCTTGGAACAAGAAGAAGAGACTTTTCTGCAGCTGAGGGAAGAAAGTATAATCTCAACAGATTAGAAACAGAACTGTTCTAATGTAGTATTTAATTTTTTTTTAATCTTCTCTACTAACAGGCTAGACAGCAAAAATTAACACTGACTTCAGTTTTTCACATTCAGTGTTAAACTTGGAAATCTGAGTTCAAACTATTAATTGAATAAATAAGAGAGATAGGACATAGCACTAAGACACTTAAAGAAAAACTTACGATTTTTATTTGATTGCATATACTATGTGAGCAGAATATGTGAGGGTTGCTGTTAGAGCTAATGTAACTTTAACTCTATTAATAAGACAGCAGCATCATTAAAGTAAGGAAATAGAATTCTATGTCATACTTTATGGAATATGGTATTGTTGGTTATGCAGACTCCATGTATAAGGAATGTGGATTTATTCTAAGAATTACAGGTATTTGCTTTGGAAGAGAGAAGACTAGGGGAAGGTACTACTGTGAGGAACATGTTAAATGCTTTCTCTGACTTGAATACCTGGCATGTCACTTGAACTATGCCTCCAGTCCTTTTATAAAATTTGGTCTTTCAGGTAGGGTGTCTCCCTAACTTTGTCAGAGCTGGCCTTGAACTTATAATCCTTTTACCTCTGCCTCCTAAGTAGCTAGGATTATAGACCTGTTCCATCACACTCTGCCTTAAGAAAAAAAATTTAAACATTACAAAAACTTTAATGTTTATTTTATGAACTAGTGAGATCCTTAGAACTAGAAAGTGTTCTGATAAGTTACCTCTATCTGTGAAGGAATTTCTAGAAGAGATTTATGTCCTGAACTGGGAGGGTGGAACACAGGGCCTCTCAAAATCCAGACAACTGCATGACTTTTATTTTACTGTCATTATTATTTGGTTAATTAGAACATGTGGTATAAGGTATGTTAGAAATGCTCCTCTGCTTCCCATCTATTCAAAAAAATCCTTCCACTGAATGGCTAAACCAAGTCTGGAATACTTCTTGAGTATTCAGAGACATTAAAATGCCAATGTTTTTAGAGGAAGCAATAACATATGCAAATTATCTATTGCTTATTGAAAGACATGAATGGTAAAAACCTAAAAATAATGAATGAACTAGGTAGTGCAAGTAAGAAAGATCCAACCAGAAAAAATCTGTAGTAGGCAAAATGCAGGAAATGGGCCAAGAGTATTTCTTCAATATTCTCTTGGAAATCCAGTAAATGACTGAGGTTTTGATTATCACTTCAATAAAGAGATGGCCTCATTTTCCAAAATGTCTGTATCATTATAACTTATAATTAGTACAACTTTTGATAGAGTTCACTTTTATTAAATTTTCATTTAATAAAATAGAAAATTTCTGTGTAACAGGTACCTATGGATATTTAACTAGATTGCCAATTTCAGGAGGCTCAATTAGCATTCAGGTTTGTCAAAACTAAACCAAACATTATTTATTTTCATAAACAATGTGATTCTATGTCAGTAAGTACAAAGTAACTTTTAGGTAGGTTCTACTCAATGAAATATAATATGCTATTCTATATGGTTTCATTTAATAATATTTGTTAGTCAAAGTTAAAAGATTTCAGAGATATTGCAGTATCTTGTGCTAGCTACACTTTTCTCCTAAACATCATCATTGAAAATTTCATGTATTTTTGTTTTGACAATTCTAAATTAAACTCACATTTTCTATTCTCACTAGTTATATCCTGCTTTGCTTTGCTACCCACAGGAACAACACAATCATCAATCTTCCCACTGTTCAAGGTGAAGCCTTATATATCCTCTTTTACACCCCATGTCCATTCTATAGCCAAAACTGTAATTCATGCACTAGTTACCTTTTAGTTATATTGTAATTTCTCATAATCAATATCTGGTGCATGAGAACTTTTCCTAAAGTATACATTCTTATCAAGTAGCTCTCTACTTTATAAACCTTCAGAAACTCACTATAAAACCATAGAAAAAAGCCTAAACTAGCTAATATGGCATTGAAATCTTCCATCATGTGATCGCAATCTGCGTTTTCAGCTTTATCTCTTAGTACTTCTTTTTGTAGCCATCAGTCTTCAATTAATCCAATATATTGCCCATTCATTATTTAAGGAGGTCTAGGCTTTCCAACCACTGGAATCACATACTCAGCTTTTTTTAAATTTTAATCTTACTCATATCTCAAGGTCTAGGCTTACAGATCTTTTACTTAATATTGCGTCTCTTTCTCTCTCTATTTTTCTTTTCCTTGTCCTTTGTTCTTCATGGAACATTTCTGATATTTTCCCATTTGTTGTATTATGTATTATATCACAGTTTGGGTTTATACCTCTCTTCTCCACTTAATGTCAAAGACAGTGCTGTAAAGATACTAAGTGATCTGTGAATGTATTCTGGTTTGATTATATTACATTACTAGGCTAGAGGATTTGGTCTAGAAGCATTGTTTCAGTAATCTCAAGTCAAGAAGGATCATGTATGATTTGGTACACATCTAGTATTTGTTTGCCTTTCTTCATGGTTATGGTACAGTCGTTTCTTTCCAAAACAGTACAGCACTTCATTAGTGAAAGTAACCCCATCATATTGATCTCTCTGTATATAAGATAGACAGATAACACAGAGCATTCTCTGTGCTAAGTGGGGCACTTTTGGGCCATCAGTCACAGCTACTGCCTCTTCTCCTAAAGGCTCTGATGTCATGTGGATTGGGGGAAAGCAGGGAACCACTTCTCATTAACCTCAGTTATCTCTGGGTGACATGTGGTGGTGGAAGATGCTGCAAGCTCCTTATTGACTCGTTCCTTTTCATTGTCAAAGAAACATACTATCTGGCATCCAATTTACCTAGGAGTCTACTTCCTGAGGCTCAATAATAATTCTTGATTAAGCCACTCATGGGGATAACATTCTTACTTCTATGAAGTTGAAAATGCTATGAGACCTGATTCTCTGTAATGAAATATGAAAGGAAATTGGCTAGAGAAGTGATTTCATTCTTAAAAAGAAACACAAAAAATAAACTCTCTGTTTTGTTGTGTGCATAGTTGGGTAATACTTAAAATAATCATTCTTATTTTACAATGATAAGGTGCTACCTTTTGGATGGTGTTAGCAAATCTCATAGTTGGAAGGGAGAAAAAAATGAACCAGGGGACTCAGTATTGTCACAGTGCTGGGGTCATTCTACGTTAAGGCTGTTTTAATGTGCGAAATTCATTTTCCTTTTTGTTTGAGTCTGGTGAACGGGGGCTCTCTTCTTACTTTAGCTGGAGACACCAGCTAGGACTTCATGGTGGTACCAGATATCTTGCCTAGGTGTCAGCTGGTAATCGTTGCTAGCTAGAGCTTCAAAGAGAACAAATTATTTTTGTGCTGATTTGTTGCAAGGTCCTGAATCTGTCAATTATTTTCATGAATCTAAATAATGGCCACCATGACTTTATTTCAAATGTTCTATGATAGCAATGATTACATCTGCCAGGAAAATTCCTGTTTTTACAATATCTAGCACAGGGATGGCACCCAGATGTTCTGTGAAATGAATGAATGAGTGAATAAATAGAGAGAAAATATCAGAAACATACTCCTTGCTATTTCTGCTGCTTACACCTCCCCTGATTTGGCCTGAAAAGTGAGTCAAGTCCTACGTTTTAGGAGAAGGGACACAGAAAAGGGAAAGATGACATTTTATAGTTACTACCTGGTCTTTCCCATTAACTGGAGAAGGGGAAAGGAGATGATTTTCAGAGATAAATTATTTTCATAAAGAAAAACTTGAATGAACTGTCTCTCAGATTGCCTACTAGAAAAAAAATCACCTCAAAATGTTTAGCACCATACATTCTTAAAGTCAGAACACAGCTCAGGAATAGCTCAGTATAAACCGAGATGAGAAAAGTTTTATCAATTTACTATTTCAAGTACTTCATTTTTCAGATGAGGAAACTGAAAGCAAGATCAGTGTTAGTTTTTCTTATACTCTGATGTAAGAGAAGTTGAATTTAGTTGGCCGTATCCACTGCCAACGTAAAGGATATTTCCCTAGCAATGCTGTTCCAACTCGGTAATCAGTATAGCTCTTGCTTGGGTGGAAGTTGAAAATAAAGAGAAGGCTTGCTCTTTCAAAAGTGATGATCTTATTGCCTTCATGCTTTTCACTCACATAGGCCTGTCAGAATGAACACATTTGTTATTTGTTACATTTAAATAACATCTGGCTGCCTTACAAGTAACTATTTACAGAAAAGTTTTGTCTTTCTTAATAGTCTTGTTCATTATTAAGCCCAAATGAAAATTCCAGAACTTTATATTTTGTGCATATTATAATTTTTCCAGCTCAAACTCTAAGTGAAAAATTGCTTAAAGAATGTAGAAATCTCAGTAGCTACTTGCCAAGACAGCAAACAAAGCACAAATAGAAGATTCTGTTGTGGCTTAGGTTTTAAGCAAAAACATGGTACCTGCAGGATATATAAAGTATTTGTGTATACTGGATCTATTTATAAGTGCATTTTCCTTAAGACTTTTTAGTTCCCAGATTAATGTCGTAAGGTACATAAAATGATTTATCAATATTTAACATAACATTGTTATTTTATCTAGTTTCTGAAATTATACTCTCCCTAAAAATCTTACATTTTTATACAGTTCTGTCAAATTCAGTGGTAACCTAATGTCCACTTAAATATGTTGGGAAATTTTTTAATAAGACATTTTAAAAATTAGCATACATTAACAGTACAAGGGGATTCATATTGGGGAGTTTTTCTTAATAAGACAAAAAAGATCTGAAAGGAAACTGTATTTGCAAACTCTCTTATTTTATACACCATGTAATTACAGTTAGCTTTGAGAAGCCCTTGCTTCTTAAGCTTCAGCTTGGAGAGGACTCATTGCCATGCATATCAGTATCATCGCTCTAGTAATTTAGAAATGTGAACTAAGGCTCTAGAGTAAACAGTGTGCCTTTTGGTATTCAATACTGTTCCTCCCAAAAAGAAGCATCATTTTGCTCTCTCTCCTGGAAATAGCATTACTAGTAAATGTGATTAGGGCATTCGTGTCATGTAGCCAGTCTTACTGAATATATAAGTACTTTTGTTCGGCCATTAAAAAAATCAAAGACACCAAAGTAAAAACACATCAACAGTAACTTCAAACAGCACCAATGTAAAGTAAATGAATTATAACTAACATATACTATATGCTAATTTCTGTAAGGCAAAAAAAAATTCCTGTATAAAATTGGTACCTGTTAATTACATTTTCTAAAACTTATTGAAAACTGAGACTTTAATTCCAGAGGAGAGTCAGACTCATGAAAAATACAAAACAGCACACAGGTATAATGGCATCTATTTGAAATGACAAGTTAGAGACCAGTAAAGAAGGGGAAAAAAGGAATAAAGAAAGCTACGTGTTGTCAAGGTAGTTTCCTTATGACAGCGTAATTATTTATATAAAGAAAAACAGTCAAAACAATTAAGATGTTTCCACAGCAATTTTCAAAATGGGTTCCATGCAGAGCTTTTGCAATTTACTTTAACTAATTCAAATAAAAATACTAAATTTAAACAACAACACCGAACTAACCAGGAAAGCGAGCAGGCCATCATATATAAGATTTTCATTATCTATTGGAGAGACTTCAGTGACATGTTTTGACAACCTGAAGTGTGTGACAGGGCACTCACTACCCACTGAATAATAAAGTGCTGTTTAGAAGACGTACACATAGGTTTAAATCGATTGCCATTCTAAGAATGTACAGCGTTGGTGACTAAAATATCACATTTAGAGTAAAGAGCTTACCTGTGGAGCTGAAAGCCAACCACATCTTTCTTCCAATCTATTCATATCCCTGTCAAAGTTATTTAGGAGTTTATAGCGAAGAAGGTCATCATCAGTTAAATGAAACTGCCTTCTGGCATAATGGTAACTCTCATTATTACCTTTTCTTGGGAAGTCTAACCATTCAGGATGCCCAAATTCATTACCTGTATTAAAACAACAACAATGATAGCAAAATGTAAATATCACCTAGTAATATTAGCATTTCTTTCTAAGAAAACTCCATAATTTTGTGTTTTTAAAGTTTTAAAAATCAGTTCAGGCTATAATTTACTGCAGATGTACTCTGTGAATGGTGTACAGGCCCAGTTATAAAACAGCATGTACAGTGCAGACAGTACCACATTTGGACTCTGAAGCCCCAGGGTCCAGTTTTACCTCAGCCACTCATTACTGGTTGTACATCTCAGTTTCCTCATGCTCATACAAAGACAGTTATATCCATCATTCTTACTTCATCTCTGAAATAATCTAGGAGATCTCTGAGGAATTTCTGAAATCTCTATTTTTGTAATCTCTGAAATCTGTCCAATGCTTTACAATTTCCAAGGGCTTTGCATGTGTGATATTTTTTGATCCTCAAAGGAACTCACTATTATATTCATTTCACAGATGAGAAATCCGAAGCTCTGGGCAGTTAAGGGATTTGCCCAACCTCACAAACATAATACTAAGTAGTAAAGCAACCATCAAAATTTACTTCTTCTGATTAAAATAAAAAACATTTTTCTACCACATCACATGAAGCAAATGCATTGTAAATTCTAGGTGCTACTGGAATCCAAGCCATCATTGCAACTATTAATTTTCCTTATTCTTTTTTTCTGATCTATGGGTTACCATTAGATGTGTATCTTTTAAGTGTGTATGTATGTGTGTGTGTGTGTGTGCACACACTTGTGTATAGTTAGGACAGTCGGTTGTGAATCCATTTAAATATTACTTCTCATTATAATGATGAGAATGAGATTCAACAAACATGAAAAATAAAAAATAAAAATAGATACATAGAATTCATTCTGACAAAAATTTAGAGTGGCTCTTACTGTTTGACTATGTTGGATATCCATTTTAAGATTCTTTTCCCCTAAAATTTTCAAATTTTCAAATTTTACTTTCATGTACCACTTTAAATTTCTCTGATGACTAAGAAACTACCATAGCCAATGCAAACGTGTCCTACATCAAAGTAACTACTATATTAACATTCTAATAAATAAAACCTAATAAGCTAGGAAGGAATTAAAAACTACTTACCATAGAATTGCTTTAAATAGCAAATTTTGCTAAGAAACTCTACAATTTACATTTAATTTTCAGGACCAGATTCATCAAAACAAACAAAAAACAGCATGTAGCAAAAAAAGTCAGCAGCAAGTTCACATACACAAAAAATAAAGTACCTGCAAACATTCTGTGAAATTCTAGTATTTCAATCTAAATGGCAGCACTTTCTATGATGTACACAGTGTGACAGAAGGGAGACCAGGATTTTTGACTCTCTGAGATTGTACATTTACATTTACATTTGGATGCTTTAAATTCACATCAGGAGCTCCCCTCTGCTACACTAAAGAGTCCTGCTTGTGTCTGGATCCTGATTGTATCAGCCAGAGCTGTACACATGGCATAATGTGCTCTAGCAACCATTCAACTGGAAGATCATGTATCTCCAGAACTGTACCTAGGGCACATTCTTTATGATGCTGATGGGACTGCCACAGTGGGGACAAGGACATGTCCAAGTACCTATGTGAGTACAAGTGGAATTTCAACTAGTGGATAACTGAGGACAGAACAGAACTATTATCAGATAGCTATTGTATTATTATTAGCCTACAAACTGGAATCAGGCTTTCTCTGGACAAAGTACATTTATTTTGATATGGCCATGGCTTCCAAAGTTGATTCCAGTATTAATATATCTCTTCTTCCCAGGGAGCGCATGCAGAAGAGAAAGCAATTAATGTCTAATATCTGCTTATTATATACCAGGATTTATTGTAATCATTGCACAAGTTAACTCTTTGCATCTTCACCAACCATATGAGGTAGGTATTCTTATTATTTCAATTTTATAGATAAGAAAATTGAGATACAGAGAAGCCACACAGTGATTAAGTCATTGGCCTGATATAACCAGGTCAGTCTGGTTTCAGCATCCTGATTTTGAATTACTAGTATATTGTACTGCTCAGAAGTAAACACTATGGAAATACAGAGCTAAGAATGACCAACTTTTCTTATGTGGAAGAGATTCCCCACTAATGAAATAACATGCACTTAATGCAGTAGAGGGAAGGTGAGATGTAGTGATGAGTTCAGATTAGTTACAAAATAGTTTGTGCTGCAAAGAGGTAAGACAGAATGAAATTAGGTTAGGAAAAGTCTTATAAACATAGTCCCTATCATGTAGGCAATAGGAACCAATGTTAATTATTAGTAGAGAAATGAGAAGTTCAGTGTCTTTGTTATTAAAATATCTGGTACAGAATGTAAAAAATACCAGATGTCGCATAACACTGAATGGTAGAAAAACAAGTGTGGAATCTAAGTATGAGATATGGTGAAGCACAATAGGAATGGAGAAAAGAATATTAATTCATATACCATTTTTGAGAAGAAAATAACCAAATTTGATGACTGACTGAGTGGAGGCAGAGAAGAAAGGGGACATCTGGTACAATTCTGAAGTTTTAGCTCAGGAGTCTGAGTAATGAGTGCATTAACTACACTGAGGAAAATGGTGACAGGGAGGGTGAGATGACAAGGAGTTCAATTTTAGGTGTGATAAATTTAAGGATTTACAGGAATTCATAGATTTAGAGTATGAGTGACAAAAAATATGATACTCAAATTCAGCAGAGAAGTCAGAGAAGTGCTAGGAGAGAGCAAGAGTATTTGTAAGACTTCCATAAATGAAGATAATCACAGTCACCAGAACGGGTGACACAAGCACCAAGGAGCTACAGGAAGAAAGAAGACCTCTGAGGGCAGTCTGATGAGCAATGGTTAGCAGGATAAGAGACTCATTAGGAGTCTTGTTGAATGCCACAAAAATACACAAATAAGAAGAACTTGCTATCTTATCACTTCTTTGGTGTAAAAGTAACATGGTGCATAGTTGTGCTTTTCCATCTATATTATGCTCCAGAATAACCAAGGAGGCCACTGATACTGCTTCATTACCTCTAGAGAAACTCAGGCAGGCATCAATATTTTTGATCAACTTCCTTACAACATTCTGAAAGTAGGTAGGCTAAAGATCTCATCTAGAAAAATGTAAGTGTAGAGACTTAAAAGTCTTTTATGTCCAAGTAAGGACAATTATATAACATAAGGCATGTGAACACAGATTTCCAAGTCAGTGAAACCTGGGTTTAAATGATAGTGAAGCCACTTATGAATTTAGGCTATTATGTCCAGTTGCCAGTTTCTTCACCTGTAAAATAGGATAATAAGTTTCAAAAAGCTCTTGTAAGATTCATATCAGAGATGTGAGTGAGGTTCTTGTCATAGGCTATAGCAGCTAGACACTTTCTATATGGCAGCTCTTCTGTGCACCCTGGCACTCATCATGGGTATTATTCATAAAAGAAGGACCTAGAAGGCATGAGGTAAGACTTAGGTTGAGGCTAAAATTTTTAGTTCCCATCATTCTGAGCCGAAAACTGGCCATACCTACTCTATAAAAGACAAACAAGTCACCAGGAGGAATTAAAGAATAAATAGGTTTGGGTCTTTTTCACTCCTTTTAAAGGGCTGAAATTCTATAATGATGAATTTCCTAGTTTTAATAATATAAGCACATTCCCAAGCCAACATTAGTGTCCTTTGTATTATCTACTACTTTAGAGCTTAAAAGACAGGATCGAATATGAAGATAATTTTGTTACAAGACACCCAGATTGATAAGGTAAACAGTCACTAGGAGGAATTCTTCTTCCATCTGCTTGAAACCTCACGATTCTCCCATGTTTACCCTGTACAGCCTTTTGATGAGGATCACTAGGGTTATTTACACAGAACTGAAAGTTAGCTGTATTTGAAATTAATTTATTAGGCAGCTTCTATTTTATTTTCTTAGTGGTACTGGGGTTTGAAATCGGGGCCCTGTGCTTGCTACGCAAATACTCTACCACTTGAGCCGCATCCCAGCCCTTTGGAACTGTATTTATTTTTCAGGTTGGGTCTCACATGTTGCGCTGAGGTGACTGTGATCCTTTACTTATGCCTCACATGTAGCTGGGGTTCCAGGAATGTGCCACCATGCCTGGCTTGTTTGTTGAGTGGGGTGTCTTACGGCCTGAGATGGCCTCAAACTGTGATCCTCTCAATGTCTGCCTTCCAAGAGTAGCTAGCATTGATTATAGGCATGTGGCAATGTACCTGGCCTTAGGGAGCTTCTAAAAGCAGTGTCCCTGTTGTGTCTGGGACACTCTTGACACTCTAATCACCTCTTCACCTAATACTTTCTCCCACCCTTTGTGAAAATGTGACTACATGTCACAGCCCCTCTTGCCATCTATTACAACTTGCTCAGGTGGACTAATAAAGAGGGAAAAACAATAAATTCTTCTTTCTTATATAATTGAGCACTTCTTAGCATCCTGCCATCACAGCACATTTTTCCTAGTTCAGAATGGAATGTTGAGTCTGACTGAAACTATCCAACAGTGCTATTAACCCATCCCATAATCTATGCAGAAGTGTGTACGTGCACACACACACACAGAGTGGACACTGACTTAGAGGTCCAAGGACTCCATTAGAAAATCATACATGAAATTGCACTATAATTTGTTTCTAGTATGGAAATTCACATTTATAATCTATTCCACAAATAAATGTAATAGACTATCACATTTATAATCTATTGCACAAATAAATGTAATAGACTATAAGTCTATGTCATCCTTAAATTTGCATGTTGAAGTCCAAACCCTCAATGTGATGGCATCAGTTGTGGGGCCTTTGGGAGGTGACTAGGTCATGTGAGTAAAGCCCTCACTAAAAGGTTTAGTGCACTTAGGAACAAGATTCAGAGAGCTGGGCCCAGTGGCTCACAGCTGTAATCATAGCTACTTGGGAGTTAACAGATCAGGAGGATTTCCCAGGGAGATTAGCCTCAGCACAAAGATATTGA